TCTTTATGTATACTATGTTTGTTAGTTAAACTTTTTTGTTAATTATTTATAATCAAACTAGATCATCCGTATTGTAATTATCTACTGAACTTAATGCTTATTTAGTTGTTTATGTCTGTCCTCTATTTAGTTTGTTTATTCAATAGACTTTATTATACTGTAATATATGTTTAGACATGATAATGTTTATATTTGTGACTCAATTTTATTTATATTTATACTTTTTATTAGTAATTTTTATTGTTTCATTTTTATTATTTTGATAAAATATATAAAAAAAATAAAAATAATTATTTTAATTAAAAAGACCAGAAGCCCGCGGGCTAGCCCGAGCCCGTCATCTCACGGGCCAGGCTTGAAAAAATGACTTATTTTTGAAACTCGGGCTTAAACGGGCCGGCCCGTTTAAGCCCGAGCCCATCACGGGCTGGCCCTGCAGGGCCGGGCCGGCCTGTTTTCCCAGTACTAATTCTATTGTGTATGATGGGAATCTCCCATGTGAATGTGCCTGTGTTTCGTGTAGAGATCTGATACGAAGCTCTCTGGCGAAGCTCCTATTTTGCCCTAACTCCTTTTTGTGAACATCTCTGTGTTTTGTTCTCTGCCCTCTTTCTTTCTTTATTTTTTTTTTTTAAATTTTTTTAAACATCAAGATCACACATCACATTAGTCACTTATTTTCCGCATCATATAGCACAGTCAGCAACCAAATCAGCAATTTCAACAATGTTAGTGATAGCTAAACGTATTTAACAGTGTTAAATTTGAGGCAAAGTTTTTTTAAAAATAGAAAGACTAACGTTTTAAATAGAATAAACTAGAAAGAACTAAATAATGATTTGAAATTTTAGAGACTAAGATTAAAATAAATAAAAATCATAAGGACCTATTATTATATTAACCTATAAACATAAAAAAGCTGTGAAAATCTAATTAGCAATAATATAAAATTATAAGCACAGTTAAATTTAGTTTTTAAAAATGTTTGATTACAATGGGGAGCGGCTTCTCTCTGTTGCTGTTATAGTCATGCCCTCTCCTGTTCTTGATGTGCACCGTTTTCTTTATAAAATGATGGTAGGAAATTCAATAATATTGTGTAGACATCAGTGCAAAGCGATCTAAAACGTGAGAATTAATGACTAATAAAAAGTCAGCCACACTTTTCAATTTTGAAGTAATAATTATTAGGGTTTAAAAAATTGGAACTCAACATTTTATATAAGGTGTATTTAATATCCTAAAGTATTTTCTAATATCACTTAATATCTTAAAATAATTTTTAATACAATTTTACCCTTAAAATATTTTTTTCAAGAGTAATTTTACCCTCCTATTTTCCAAAAAGATAAAATGTATTCAACATCCTAATCTAGTATCCTAAAGTATTTTATGTAATATCATAAAATATTTTTTTAAGTAAATCTAATATCGTAAATATTTACTTTACGGTGTTAGGTGTATTTGGGAAAAAGTTTCATGATGTAGAAATACTGAGAGATTGGGGACACCTGAAAAACATCTTTACCTTTCTTGAAGATAAGAGGGTAAAATTATTTTTGAAAAAAATATTTTAAGGGTAAAATTATATTAAAAATTATTTTAAGATACTAAGTGAAACTAAGAAAATATTCTTTCCAGTTCAAAATATAATATAAACTTTATCTATTTATGTTTATTAAGAAATTAATTAAAATTAGTTTAAAACAATAAATATGTAAGGTATGTATTTTTTCTAAATATATCATTATTCATGAACGAAAATAAGTAAAAAAATACAATAAATGGTTTAAAGAGAAGAATATGGGAAGCAAAATTGGAAAAAAATTACTAAATATTTAGACAAAAGTAAATGTTATTTTGTAAAAAAATTACACTCCTCCAACAAAGTTTACCTATACTTTAAAATGGAGGGAGTACTTATGATACTAAATACGCGTTATACAAAACTTTGAGTCCTAGTTTTTTAAAACCCAATAATTATTAGTATTTTTTAAATTTCAGGCCTTATGTCTCCACTCTCCACAACGTTGTTGAATTTGCCAATATCATTCTACAAAGAAAACAATGTGCATAAAGAAGAGGAGGGTAGCCGTTGGTAACAGCAGCGCATAAAAGCTGCTCCCATTACAAAGATATCTGGATTAAGATCAAAATTATTATTTTAAAAATATTTTTACAGTATATAAAATAAGTATGTAAAAGGTTTATCTCGATAAAAAGTGTTTTTACTGAAATACCCTTTACATTGCATTGCAATCCTTTGATTCAGCGAACCAGACAGGCGGTAAATAAATAAAAACAAAAAAACAAAGAAGAAAAAATCCCCACGTTCCTTCCCGAACTGCCTGGAGATCTGAGTTACGGGGAAAATCATTGGATCATATCCGTCGAGTGCCCGACCCACACGGTGAGATCTGTTCTGTAATAACTAGCCAGCAACGCATAGTGATGGAATCTGATTACTTTTGTCACAGTCAGACTCTTGCTTCCATCTTCGCAAAGTTACGCTTCGCCTAAGAACTTGTTTGTGATCTGCATCAACCTTCGTCTTTCAAAGCGGAGTGCTTCTCCTCTTCATGGTGCATGTCTTCTCATTTCTGATCTAGGCTTCACAATTTGCAAATTAATTGTAGCTTGATGAGCTTTCAGCTTCTTCTTCGTATATGCCAATGCGTAGCATGACGTCTAACCAACTGGTTATGCCATTTATTGTAGCAATTGTTGGTGTTTAACTGGCGCATCAGTCACTGACGGGTAATGCTGGAGAATCATCGCGGTCGAAGAAGGGAGCAATACTTCTCAAAACTGCGCTTCTGAATTTTAACTATGAGAAGGTAGGCAGAGACAAAGATTAACGCTGTATTTGATTGTTTATCTTTGTAGGGGTTATTGTTCTTTAAGCAATGCTGTTTTGTTATTCTTTGCAGAGCTGGGTTTCACAGGCAGTCTGTGAGGCAGGGAACTGGGGGAGGGTTGAAAGGGATGATTGCGAAACTATCAATTGCCGTTCTTGTATTTTTAATCTGCACAATTTCGTTCTTGTTTTCCTCAACAAGCACTCATAGTGGTCAATCCAACTACCGCTCGGAGGTTAGTGAAAACTGTGTTGTGAACCAATGTTTCTTACCATTACCTAAAAGGGAAAAGGAAAGAAAATGAAAAAAGATGTTATGACCAATAAAAGAAATTTCGGATTCTTTTATTGCTTCATTAATCTAAGGTAAACAATGAAATCTCAAATATGAATGTCTCACAATTTGACATTTCATATTAAGAAGCACTTTGGGTATATTTTCTAGGCTTCTGGTGTTGTATTATGAATTAGCTTCATGTTGGAGATGCCGGTGATTGTGAAAGGCTTTGCAGTCGGCATTTCTGAATTAAAAAGGTGATACATTTGAACCTCTGGAGTTCGACTGATAGGACTTTGCAAAAGTTGTAAAAAGGATTCTATGCCACTAGGTACTATGACAGGAGGCATGGCGCCTCTAATTGTGTGCTGCGATGGTGCTGAGCATTAATCGTTCAAAAGGATGATAGATAAGACGAGTCTAATAGAATTAGAGTTGGCTGTTTCAAATTATTGGATACCCTTTTCAAAAGACTATCACATGCCCAACAATGCTTTGCACCATAACCACACTAGGTTCAGGTTCGGCAACTTGGAATAAGCATTTTATAACAACTTATTAGAAAACTATGGAGACTTATTGACTATATTTTGATTATTTATGTTATGATTGTTATATATCATGTCCTATTCTATGAGTAACAGAGTCATATTATGTTAACTTTATTTTGGTTTTTCCAGTGCTGTGATTTGTTTGTATGATTTACTGAAATTAAAAAATCAGCAATTTTTTGTACAATGATTGAAATTTCAAAGAGTTATTGGATTATGGTAACGAGGTACATATTTTTAACATCCATGTTTTAGATGAGGGGTTGAGGAGAAAATTGTTTTTGTTTCATAACAATAAAACCAAAAGATCAAGTGTCATCATGGTTTAACTGTGACCTATAACAGAGTACGCAGCAGTAAAGAAATTTATTTTTATGCTACAAAAGTCTGGTTCAAAAAATGGCATTTTTGCAAATGTTTATTGAGAATACATGTGCCATTGATTGAATACTTAGTCATTCATTCTCTTTTGTCTTTGAACAGATCCGTATAGAAGAACTCTGGAGTAATGCTGATTCGGGTGGTTGGCGGCCATCATCAGCTCCGAGATCTTACTGGCCTCGTATTTCCTTTTTCTTTCAAGGGTAAATTATATATTTGTTGTTCTTGAAAGATCACAAAATTTTCAATTTGGCCCTCTAAATTGTAAGCCTCTCAATTTTGTTTCCAAATAATTTTTGGGCAATAAATTTGTAGTTTTGTAATTTGTACTATTCGTTTGTTAAGCACGACCAACTTGATGCTTCTGTGACCTTTTAAATATACAGTAACCAAATTCGTGAAATTCTTGCAATTTTTTTGTTGTGATACAGGACGGGCTTAGCCCGACAACTAGAAATTAGAAACTTGTGTTGGAACTCCTATTCCATCCAAGTCCTCTTTTAGGATCTCTTGCACAGCCCCTGGGGGTGTAACCCAAATCATGTATTGTTCAGTTTGGCACAAGCAGGGAGAGGCCAATTTATCTGCGCATCAATTCCCTTCCCTATAAACATGTTTAATTCGAGCTTGCCATTCCTAAAGAAGCAACTCCTTAAGAAGTCAATGAAGCTCACTATGCGCTTTTATATTACTCCCTCCGATTCAAAATATAAGATAAATTCTGTTGTAAGGGCTTGGTTTTTTTTATAAGATAATATTCACTTTTGTCTAAGCATTTAATGAGTCCCCCCCCCCCCTAATTTTACCACTAACATATATTCCCTTTCCGCTTTGATTCATTTATTGTATTTTTTTACTTATTTTCTTCATTAATAAGGGTATATTTGAGAAAAAACATACGTACCTTACATATTTATTGTTTTAAATTGATTTTAACTAATTTCTTGATAAACATAAATAGATAAAGTTTATCTTATATTTTGAATTGGAGGGAGTATCATTGATATCTTCGACTGCTTGTGAAGAATCACATTCTACTTCCACTTTCTTAAATTCTAGTTGCTGCCATAATTTGAGTCCCTCATCTATTCCCCACGTCTTAGTTTCCAGTGTGTTGTAGTTTTCCAATTTAACAGAGTATCCATGTAGCCATTCTCCATAATCACCCCTTATAACTCCCTTGCATCTTGCCTAATCTCTATAAGAGCTCCATCTATCAGTGTTCAATTTACACCAATCTTTTTCTAGAGGTTGCCAGCTGATCATTCTTACTTCCTCTGTTTCCTCTGGTCTTGTAATTCTATCAGCTTTGTTCTTATAATTCCTCAGGTACTATGTGATTGCTTTAGCTGCATTGTAAGGGTGAGTGTACTGCTCATCATGCATTTGTAAATTTCGCATCTCTAAATCAACCAGCACCCCATAGCAATTCTCTTTGGCCAGTCATAGTCTTCGACTTTTTTCTTGCGATTGCTGTTCCTTTTCAACCATGTTCGCCCATTGACATGGAAGAAGAGTCGATCATGTTTATGCCACTCCAACATCCTCCAGGCGTATTTTACTTGAGGGTAGTCTTGTGATGCATGCATCCATTCCTCTCAAGCACTGTGACACAGTTCACACATATCAAAATTACTGTTCCACTTGCTTGTAACTGCTTTAGTAGGTAGCCTCTGATTGAATGATAGCCATATGAAAACTTTGACGTGCTTCGATATTTTCCATATTCATTTCCAGGGACTAAGTGGGTTTGTATCTCTTTTATCCTTCAGCCATGCATAAGCACTTGTTGTAGTGAAAGTGCTGTCGTTTGTTAACTTCCATATAGGTCTGAACTCTTTTTCCTGTATCTTCTACTCCAGTTTTGACTGGAATTGCTTTCTCATTTTTGCTAGTTCTTTCCATAGCCTGGAGTCCCCTTGTTTGGTTGCAAACTCGCTTCCTTCAACCTCTTGCCTACCATATTTGCTGTGAAGCACACGAACCCATAGCTCATTTGGTTGTTCGTGAATCCTCTAGAGCAGTTTAAGGAGGAATGCTTCATTCATTGTTGATAGTGTTTTGATGCCTAGTCCATCTGTTTTTGGTTTGCAAACTGATTTCTAAGCTATTGGGTGCCACTTCCTTTTTCCCTCTTGTTCATCTCACAAGAATTGTCTTTGCGCTTTTTCTAATTCCTCAATCACCCTTTTTGGAATATGATCACGTTGGATGGGGTAGAGTGCCATCAATGAAGTCACTAAGTTAATGTCATTCTTCCTGTTAATGACAAGCTAGATGCTTTCCATCCTTTTAATTGTCTTTGTACCTTGGCCACAATTGTTTTGTACCTATCCTTGTGTTTTCGAGGAAATGAAATTTCGACACCCAAGTACTTTCTCAACTCATCAACCTATCTAAACTTACTCCGACTACTATAATTTTCCTAGTTTGCAAACTCACATTTTTGGAAAAATAAATGAGTTTTCTCTTTACTCACTTTATGCCTAGAGATCTCTCTAAATACCTACAAACACTAAGCAATTATATCAATTTGGTCAGGGTTAGCTTTCGTAAATAAAACTAGATCATCTACAAACATTATGTGAGAAATGATTGGGCCTTTTCGACTCTAGCTCTCACACCTTTCTATTTTCTCTCACTCACTCTATCATGTATTAAATGTGAGTTTCTCCCTGCCAAGCTCAAGAAGATGGGGGAGATAGGGTTTTTTTGCCTAAGCCCTGTCGATGAGTTCAATTCCTCTAGTTTTTCTCCATGCCCGAGTATTTTAGTGGAAGAAGTGTGAATACATTCCATGATTCTTCTAACGATATGATCAGGATAGTCAAACTCCTTTAATACTTTTTCCATGAATCCCGAATTTATTCTATCATAGGCTTTTTCTAGATCTACTTTGATTGCCATAAAGCCTTTCTTTTCCATCTTCTACCACATTGAATGTATCATTTCATTCACAATAATGATGTTATCATTAATGTTCCTTTCTGGCACAAAGCTCACTTGAAAAGGTGATGCAATCTTGCTCGTGATATTCTTCAATCATTTTACAATGATTTTGGAGATATATTTGTACGTGATGTTGCACTAGGGGATCAGTGTGAGTTGGTTGACTTTTTTCAAGGTAATCAACTTTGGGAATAAGAGATATGAGGGTTGTATTGACCTTTCTTAAGTTCTTAGTATTATTCTACATGTTCTTCACCTCTTGACACACACTATTTCCTACTATCTCCCAGTTTTTTGGGAAGAAAATCGCTAGATAACCATCAGCTTCTCGAGTCTTTAATCTTCCTGTTGAAAACATTGCTTGTTTTATCTCGACATCAGTAACAGCTTCAAAGATTCCTTGCCATTCATCCCTCAAAACTTGCAGTCAAGAGTGGTGTGTTTGTATCCAAGGCTTGTTCTGGTTATCTTCTTGAAATAAATTCTTGATGAAACCATTCACCACCTTACCCACTTCTACTTTACCTTCTACCTAATTATTTGCTTCATCTTTCAACATCGTTACTTTACTTTTCCTTCTCTTGATGTTGGTTTTAGTGTGATAGAAAGAAGTGTTCTTGTCCCTCTCATTAAGCCATCTTGTTCTAGCCTTTTGAAACCAAAGAATTTCTTCTCTTTCTAGTACTTCATTAAATTCTTTTTTGAGCTGTAATTCTAGAGCTTCTAGATGTTCATTCGGCTTTCTTTGCATTGCTTTTTGAATACCTGGTATTCTTCTTAGTAATTCTCTTTTCCTCTTACCAACATGCCCAAAGACATTTTCATTCCAATTTTGCAGCTTTGGGATTAGAGAGGACAATGCTTGCCATATTTCTCCTAAGCTAGACTAGCATGCTTGCAAAAATTGATTGAAACTAGAGTGTTTTAACCAGGCTGCTTCAAACCTAAAAGGCCTTTTTTCTCTATTGCCTTGTTCATCTGTTAGATAGATCAAGAGTGGATGATGGTCCAATTGTATCCAGGGTCTAACTTTTACAAAAGCTCCATTAAATCTTCTTCTCCCTTCACTGTTGCATAAAGCTCTATCAAGCTTCTTGTATATAGGGCTAGCATGCTTGATAATAGGGCCTCTCCATGTGTACCTTGGCCCCTCATATCCTATATCAATCAGATCACAACAATTAATATGTTCACAGAATCTCTGGCATTTTCTATCATTTATTCCCACACCACCATGTTGTTCTTTGTGATTTTGTATGTCATTGAAGTCTCCTGCCAACATCCAAGACTTAGAAATTCTTTTAGCAAGATCTTCTAGTTTCTCCGACATCACTTGTCTCTCTTGTTTTGTTGGGCTCGTGTAGATGGCAATAAAAAGCCATTTCTCTCTTCCTAAACCTGATTGCTCTTCAATCATTTTGATCTTTATGCCATCATCTTTCCATAAAATCCAAATACTCCTAGACATGCCATTAGCTTCTACTTATAGTTGATTTTTAAAATACAGCCTTTTAATGACTCTCTGCTCAGTAATTCCACTACACTTTGTTTGTCTACGTTCCTTTAGAGCAAGTCCGAACTCTTTTCCAACTGCTCCTCTAGCATTCAAAACCATAGTCGTGGAAAAAATCACTTCAGAGTAATAAAAAACACACATGATTAAGCACTCCTATTAGCTCTGTTGAGCTGATTCTCCTCTTCAACCATTTTTCACTTCTCCTCCTCTTTCTCCATGGCCTTGGAAAAGTCTGCCTGCTATGCTGCTCTATCTCTTTTTTCTCCATATTATCTTCCTTGGACTCCAAGACTGCAAATCTCAAGGAGGAGCCAGCTTTAATGGCCAGCTTGGCATCTTTTTTTTGGCCATCGAATCTGCTTTCCATCTTTGGCAACATTTCTTCTTCCCCGTCTTGTTTCTGGCACCATCGTCTAATCTCCATACATATTCGCCGGCGATTTGTCAAAGATTTAGCAAGGTTAACGGCCCCTTCCGTTTTCTTCTTTTGTTTGTTCGATTTGGCTTGCAGTGTCTGATTACTTCTTCAACGGATAGTGCTCTGTAACATGGCCAAACTTATCGTAAGGAAAACATGTGAGATGAAGTCCCTCATATTCAATCTTCAACTCATTCCCATCTACTTTATAAGAAGGTAGCAGAGGAGCATTTAGACCTATCTCCACACACATACAGGCATACATTGTTCTTGCTCTCAATGCAATCATTTCATCCACTCTAATGTCTCTTCCTATCTTGCTTCCTGAGTTGTAGAAGAATTTCTTATCACAATAATCTCCTGGAAGACCTGGCAGCCGCACCCGTGCGGCTATCTTTTGAATTTTTTCATTCCACACATTGAAATTTCTCTTCCACGTTGCCACTGTTAGGTAGTGATTAGCTATGAGCCATGATCCTCCTTCAAGTGCAAAGAAGTAATCCTCTTGAGATTGGAAAGTTGCTATCATGTAACCGTTCCCTATGTCCGAAAGATCAACATTTCCACATTTTCCCCATAGACCTTTCTCCTAAGTTGCATGAACCCAATTGAACCTCCCAAAAGTTTAATGATAAGAGAGTCTTGCCATTTCTTTTCTAATCTCCTTCTCTCCTTATCAGAAGACTCAAGTCTTGGACCCCTTTTTGTATCAATAATAGTAGCTCTTTCAGTGAGCTTTCGGGAGTTTCAACAAATTTCCATCTCATGGTTCTTCCTACTCCCTTTCTTGTTCTCTGTTTCTTTCCCATTCTGTTTGTGGTTTCAGAGCCTCGCGATACGAAATTCTAGGTTGTTGTTTTGGAGATACTCCAATCCTCCTCCCTTGCAGCCAGTGAAATTTCTCCAGTAAAACTTCTTGCTGTTCGTTGCACCTCACCCGTTGCTTCCATTTCTGTACCAGTTTCCACTTTGGAACCCTATACCAAGGGTTAAGGTAAGGATTGCCTATTTCCCTCTATCTCATAGGCGCTTTGAATCATTTCATGTCTATCTTTGCTCGCATGAAGAGCACCAAGAGGACGATCAGGAGGGAGTTTCTGAAGGTTTTGGTCATTCATGTTCAAGGAAAAAACTCAGCGGCTCTCTCTAACTTTCTCTAACTTCACTCGAAATTCTTGCAATTTTCCTGAACTTGGCAGTGCCACTTCTCCATGATCACGTAAACATTCTGTTAGGCCAAGTCACCAGCTCAAGTTCATGTCAATAAACAAAAAGGACATAGTCGATTGAAGGATGAAATTGTGAGGCTTAAACTAGAGAGGATTAGAATGAGAATTGTGTTATCTTTTAAGGATGACAAGGGTAATTTACTCTTCTTTTAATTATTGCCTTTTGATATAGGACTTATGTTTGAACGGAGAAGTCTTAGAATTTTCTGATGCTGTATCAGTCTTGAATTTATGTTATGGCAGCTCCTCCCAGCAAGAGCAATGGTTATTTGCGTGTTCGGTGTAATGGTGGCCTAAATCAGCAGCGAAGTGCGGTTGGTAACTTTTTCCGAGTCTGCATTAGATTTTGTTTCCATGAGCATTCTTTTATTTATTTATGAAGGCATAAAGTGAAGAAAAATATTTGCTTTTAACTGCTAAGTTCGTGTATCTGTGGCAAGGAAGTTATAATAAACACTGATTTTGAAACTAACTGAATCTAGTGATGTTGCTAGGATGTCCTATATTATTCTTTATTATGCATGTATTATTAATATGTTGTATTTCAATCCTGTAGATCTCTAATGCCGTTCTTGCTGCACGAATCATGAATGCTACATTAGTACTACCTGAGTTGGATACGAATTCCTATTGGCATGATGACAGGTGACCATCATAATATTCCAATTCTTATCCTTGAACAGCATAACACCCATTTAACAAATTCTGGATTTAGATTGTTATTTACGGGGAAAATGGAACCAGTCATATTTTTGTTGAACATATGCATTTGTTTTGTGATGTTGGTGAGATGAATAAACCGGTACTGCCAAAATCATTATCGTATCCATTTATTTTCACTGAGAGAGGGTATATAATATTTTTCACTTTTCCGATGACATTTAGAAGATATGTTCTATTAAAGTACGTATATTTCATGGCAAATAGTTTCTAGACTACGTTTCCTTGGAACATCACAGGAGATAACTAGCAGCAACAGTCATCATCCACTGAGCTTTTTTCCATTTTTAGTCAGATGATGATGTAAGAACCTTTTTATGTGTCTGTTTTAACAACTGATCATCATTTTTGAAATTGTTGGTATAGCTGTATTTAGATTTTGCGCTTGTTTGCATCACTTATATAAGTACTTATAATCATGTTTCATGTAAACCGAGACAAAGTTTCTCTCACATACTTGCCTAATATTTCTCAAATCACGATTAAAAAGGCTACTTGTAGGCTACTCCAAACGAACCATTTCCCCTGCTGGTTTTTGTGTCTGTCTTATAACCTGTAAAGGGAAGAAATGCAGAAAAAATAGGGTGAGGAAGAAAGGAGAGCAAGAAGGAAACTATGATATTTTAGTGATTCTCCAATACTGTGGGAGAATCTTTACTGATTCTAGAGTCTAGATCTCTCACTGGATTCTGTCTCAAGATTATCCAATCCCCTTTAAACCATTACGTCATTATTCTTCATTTTTTGACAGACTAATAGTTTATCTCTTCCACCATAGATCTTCATACAGCAATTGACGGAATTAGCCATTTGGCCCCAGTTTCCCTTTCTTCCCCTCCTACCATCGGAGCAGTCTTATTTCTCAACTACTGTTGCACATTTCTAGCCTTATATTAATGATCAGCATTATGCCCATCATTTTGCTTCTTCTTCTTATTCCTCAAGTTAAAAGTCTTAGTCACAGTAAGTTATGGAAACTTAAAAAATGGGAGAGAGAAAGAGGAAAGAGAAGGGAAAAGAGAAATAGACGAGAATTAGATAGGAATAGAAGATCAAGAGAAACTAAATAACTTCTAATCACATTGCAAAACTGAGTTACAAAGGATAGTAAGTACTTATTTATATGTAAAAGCCCTAATTGATATAAATCTAAGTAAATATCCTCGTATTATCTAAATATTATCTAGATATCCTAATCTATCCAAGTCCTACTAATATAGTTGAAATACTATCTAAATCCTACTAATATTATTTAAATCCTTTTTATCCTACTTATATCCTATTTAATTATTTTCTTATTTATAATTATAATTACCTAACAGTCCAGTAATTCCAAGCCCATCAATATCTGCTTCATCAAGGTAGAAATGAGAAAACTGCAGTTTGATCATGATTGAACTCTCTCCTGTTAGAATGGCACGCAGACCTGAATGATGGCTAAAGTGTAGAGGTACTTGTATAAGAGTGCAGGTCACCCCATGGCTATGCCGTGTACTTACAAACTTGGGTGATCCCCTCCGAATACTTCAGCCTGGCCATTCACTGGCTTTCTGACCTTTTGTACAGTCCCAGGATGCACCTGTAGTTCAATTTTCTCAGTGAGAGGAGTCTAAATTTGCTGCTTTGAAATGTTGGGATGTATGGTTTGCTGAGCTGACACATGGAAAGCAAATGTTCAGGCCCCCTCATGCTGCAGCAGTGGTGAAGTTAGGTATTCTGCCCCAGTTTATCTTTCTATCCATCTAGCGACCTTATCACTCTTCTTCTACAATACATGCGCACGTTTCTAGCCTTAGGTGAATTATCAATCACAGGCTCACCTTTTTTGCCTTCACTTTATTCGCTTGGAACCTTAATAGACATCAGTCCATTAACCCCTGGCCCATCATGTATGTTATAAATAAAACACTTGCCCTTTCCTCTATTTAGGTGCCAAAAGGCGAGTACCATTTGGCATGTAATTGAAGCCATCACCTTTCTTACTGTGAGAGGCAACGAGGTTGCTTGGCACCTCACCTTAGTCCTTTGAGTACACTGCCTTGCCTTGGGTCATCTTGAGAAATCTTAAGTATTCTTTAACCATCATACAATGTTCTTGATTTGGCTTGTTAGTAAATATGCTCACCATGCTGACCCAAGAGGGGGGGAAAAGTTTGCCACACTTATTGGGAACTTTGATACTAAGTCTGACATGTCAGCGGTAAATTAATTTATCTACTGGTCCTTGTTACATCCTAGGGTCAACTAGAGAACTTTCATTTTCGTAGGAGTGTTTTCTAGTTTGCATCCTTGTGTGCCTATCTCCTCAAGTAAATGCAATGTGTAATTTCTGAGATACAGCAATGCCCTCCTTTGACCTGGCAACCTCCATTACCAAAAATTAATATAAGTTTTCCAAATATTTAGCATTAAATCCTCAGCCCAGAACGCTTTTTAGCTCCCTTACTTCATCAATACACAGACCAGGCCATCAACATAACGAAATCCAACCAAAATATTGGGAATTGCTTCAGCCAAAGTTATTTTGAGTTAACGAACTCTATGTATTGTCTTCAAAGCTAGATGGAACCTCCATATATACTTCCTCCAAACCTGTGTTTAAGAATGCATTCTTCACATTGAGTCAATAAACAGGCAATTACAATTTGTTGCTAATTAGAGAAGGTGTATAGTGTTTAACACTGCAATGAGTGCGAAGTCTCATGAACAGGAGAATGGACTGTTTGGGATTGATTGAACCCTTTAATTGCTAAACCTTTCTGTGTGTAGACTAATATTACCATCCAGATTGTCCTTAATTCTGAATATCTACTTGCTGCCAGCAAGGTTCTTCCCCTTTGGTGGCAAGCTTCCATGTTCAATTTACCTTAAGAGCATTCATCTCATCTTCGGTGGCTCTCCTCCATTCTGGTTTCTTCATTACCAACACTTTCAGGCATCTTTTTGTTACAAATACTTGCTGCAAAACTTTCATGACTTGGAGCCAACCTGATGTGGGAAATTTTGCAATGTATAGTAATAGAGTGATCGGGAATCAACTGGGATGGGCAGAAAACACAGGAGGCTGTAAATGGAGGAGAGTTGACTCTCTAAATAAGGCAACTAGATAGTGGGTATCCCTGGCAATAACCAAATGGCTCCTAGTGTGAAAATAGCGGGACAAAATTAAGCATTGAATTGTCTAGTTAGATTGTGATATTTAGCCTATGACAATTAAGATTAAATGAGAGGTAATTTGGGGCATGAACAAAGAATGACACAGTGCTGACTGACACGCACACTTTAACAATTCTACGTTTTCCTGATGGTTATCGCTATTGTTGTACCCTATCAGCTTTTAAAATATTTGAAATGCAGATTAGTTGGCTCTTTCATCTTCCTGTTTTTTCCTAAATTTTATTTTACTTTTCTTTCTGTTACTATCGTATTTTACTAGACATTTGGCTCGATTAGGCAAATTAATTGCCTCTTTTAGGCTATTCATGTAAACCTTAATGTAGTAAAGTTAGTTAGTGAGTTTTTTTATATTCTTGTATTAATTTGTTTATATTTTGTAATTTAGAATTTTATTGTGCTTGTATTTTTTTTTTTTTTTTTAAATATTATCATGGAATGGAGCACCTTGCCAGCAGGCAACCATTTGTCCATTATAATTTGGTGCCAGATTATATAGTTCTGTGAGCCTCTAATTTTAATTGAACCAAAGGTTCCGTTTCTATTTTCTTATAATGCAAGTAGTTATGTACATGTAATCATAAAATTGGTTTCATTATTGCACGCAGCGGTTTTTATGGTATCTATGATGTCGAGCACTTCATCAAGACACTGAGGTTTGATGTTAGAATTGTTGAAAGCATTCCAGAAATTCACAAAAATGGAAAAAGGAAGAAAATAAAGGCATTTCAGGTAGAATATAATGATTCCATTGTATTCTAATTCAGGTGATCAGTTGTTAGAAATTATTTTAATTTCTTGGATAACACTTTCAATTATTATTTTAATTCAGCTTCGGCCTCCTAGAGATGCTCCTATAAGTTGGTATACTGGTATTGCTTTAGCAAAAATGAAGGAACATGGCGCCATCTATCTTACTCCCTTTTCACATCGCTTAGCTGAGGAAATTGACAATCCTGAGTACCAGCGATTGAGATGTAGGGTTAACTATCATGCGTTAAGGTTCAAGCCACATATCATGAAACTGAGTCAATCAATCGTTGATAAGCTACGGGCACAAGGCCACTTCATCTCCATACATCTTAGGTTTGAGATGGATATGTTGGCGTTTGCTGGGTAAGTGTTAGAATCCATTATTTAATTCCTCATTTTCACTGGTCCTGTTATCACCATTCTATTTATGTTTGTTGGTTGCTGATTTTGTGTGGTTTGAGGCTGATGTGGAACACCAAGGGGAGGATAAAGGGAGAAAGGGAAAAGATGGCAGCAGAAAACAACTATTCTTAATTTCAAGTCAACAAAGTTAGGCAAAAAAGAATAAGCTAGGACTATTTCCAGGAAGCCCAAAACCTAACTTAAAGTAAAAGGATGTATAATAAAGAAAACAAGATGAAGTCAGAAAAAAAATTAGTAATATGATGGAGCCCAAGCCAAATGATAGAAATCTAACACAGAATTTATATTAAATATTCCAAATAGTTGGTAGTAAGAGATTTACAGCAGAAATAAGCCTACACTCAGAAAATAAACTGCTGAAAATGGTAAAGCAACACTAACCAAAACATGACAGATTATGCTCTCAAGCATAAAAGAAAAATCATGAAGAAAGATGAACTTCCTTCACCCCCAAATTGGGTTTCGAGAGACCAGGGCTCTTCCTCACGAAACCACAATCTGCTTAAAAAATTTCACCAAACCCCTCTGCCCAAGTATACATCACACGGCCCTCTCTCTGTCTCTCGTGCGCATGCATACTTGTGTACGCATGCGCACGCACACACAAACTTCACACACTCTTCACCTAGGCTTGGCACATTAAATGTGGGTTCATTAGCTATGGGTCCATCGTAATAATACAAGAAATACTAAAAACATGAAATAAATCAAACCATCAGAATTTCCACACATGCAAGTGATGCTGATCCAACAGTAGACAAATGAGCTCATTTATGAGAATTCTTTTTCGGGATTGCTCATGTTTTGTACAATTTGATTTGTAGATGCTTTGACATATTTACTCCGGAGGAGCAAAAGATTTTAAGAAAGTATCGAGAAGAAAATTTTGCACCTAAACAATTGATCTATAGTGAAAGAAGGGCAATTGGGAAATGCCCATTGACTCCTGAGGAGGTAAACAAGCATTGACCAGTTTTTTCTTTTCTCTTTTTTTTTTTTTTTTCCCGCTTCATATTGTTCTTTTAACTTGTTTCTCATTGTTTGCCCAAGGGAAAAAACCTTCTTGTTGTGGGTCAAAGGTATTTAACTTCGAATACAAGGCAGTGATTACTTCTGTCAGAACTTGAAGGTTGTTATTAATTGGACTTCGTAATGCAGGTTGGTCTTATTTTGCGTGCTCTGGGTTTTGACAATTCTACCAGGATATATCTTGCAGCTGGGGAGCTATTTGGTGGGGATCGATTCATGAAGCCATTCCGAAGTTTGTTTCCACGACTTGAGAATCATAGTTCTATGGAGCCCTCAGAAGAGCTTGTGGAGAACACAAGAGGGTTGGCTGGTTCTGCAGTGGATTACATGGTCTGTCTTCTTTCTGACATTTTCATGCCAACATATGATGGTCCAAGCAACTTTGCGAACAACCTCCTTGGACATCGCCTTTACTACAGCTTTCGGACCATAATAAGGCCTGATAGAAAAGCTCTTGCTCCAATATTCATTGATAGGGAGGCTGGGCGCACAGCAGGTTTTGGGGAAGCTGTAAGGAAAATCATGCTCAAAACTAGTTTTGGTGAACCTCACAAGCGTGTTCCACCAGAGTCTTTTTATACAAATTCTTGGCCTGAATGCTTCTGCCAAGCATCTGCAAAGAATCCTGTAGACAGATGCCCCCCAAATGATATTTTAGAAATCCTCAACAGCCAGTTGGAGCAAGAAACAACAGGCCACTCAAATTCAACACTATCTTCGGCATACATGTAGAAGTTGTTGCTAGCTTTGTGCTGATGATTCTTTGCCCCCAAAATGGAAAGAAATTATTTCCTATTTATTATATTCAAATTTTTATGTGATATATTTGTTTGAGAACTAAGGTCCCATCTGGCATGAATCATTGAAAATAAGAGGCAGGATTAGGATTGCAATTGAAAAAAATGACTAAAAAGTATTTAGCATGAATGATTGTTTATTACATGGAATTAGGCAAAATCATAAAGGTGGGATTGGGAAATGCCATTTTCTTCTATAGTATTTCCTAATCCCACATACATGGGATTGTTTATTTCTATGTAAGAAATAATCTATTGTGTTAAACTCTCTTTTAATAGATTTTTTTAGTTCTAATCTCAATTTACATTGTTCATTTTTAATGCTTTGTATGAAACGGAACCTGAGAAGTTATGTTGTGCATCAAAGGAGTGATTTTGTCACATATAAAGATACTAATTTCCATACATGCCTTTACTTTTGCTTGGACCATTGTAGTCTGATGACTGGTTTGGATTAGAGAGCTGTCACAATGTGACTGGAGTTTGCTTAGTAAAAGAATCAAACCATGAAAATAATAACCTTCCTTTGTAGTATTCCTGTATGAGGAAAGGATTCCTCATGGCAAGGGTCAAATAGATATATATTGGAAATTTGAAATTCTGAAAGGAATGCTTGTATTGATTAATGAAATTTTGAAAGTAAACATCGATATCATTATTTGGAGACATGCCTTTACTTTTGCTTGGACCATTGTAGTCTGATGACTGGTTTGGATTAGAGAGCTGTCACAATGTGACTGGAGTTTGCTTAGTAAAAGAATCAAACCATGAAAATAATAACCTTCCTTTGTAGTATTCCTGTATGAGGAAAGGATTCCTCATGGCAAGGGTCAAATAGATATATATTGGAAATTTGAAATTCTGAAAGGAATGCTTGTATTGATTAATGAAATTTTGAAAGTAAACATCGATATCATTATTTGGAGGTAGGTTTCATTATAGTGATTTTTTTTTTTAGGTGAAATACTCTGTGATAGCAACCCAGGCCCAACACATCATCTCGTAGAATGTCGAACACCTCAACAGGTGGCCTATTCCAAATCCTCTTTTCTGTCAGCTGTCTCGCACTAAGCTATGTAAGTCTATCCGCACATCTGTTAACTTGTCAGTAGACATGTCTGATCTCTATCTCCCATTCCTTGTTCAAAGCCTTTCTGATTTCCTTTGACACAATAGAGTTCCCTTCAATATCTTTCCTTTGTTGCATCGATTCCAATACTTGCTTAGCATCACTCTCAACTATAATTTTCCTGAACCCCATAGACCAGCAAATCCTCAAACCCTCAAGAATTCCTCTGGCTTCTGCTGATAGTGAGTTTTGTCTTCCTAGCTTCAGCGAGTAACCACACAGCCATTCTTGAGTATCCCCTCGTATTGCTTCTGTGCATCCTGCCTCTCCTGAACTCCTTTGCATACCGTTAGTATTCAGTTTGCACCATCTAGAAGGTGGTTTCTGCCAAGCGATCCTTTTGACTTCTGTTCGCAGGACATCCTTAGTATTCAATTTGCACCATCCAGAAGGTGGAACGTGGTTTCTGCCAAGCGATCCTTTTGACTTCTGTTCGCAGGACATCCTTTAAGTCCTGAATTCCTTTGATTTTATAGGAAGAAAAATGGTGCCTAATTATTTCTTCTGGTTTCTCCGGTAACTTGAAATCACCGTTATGAGTTAGAGAATTTCTCCACTTCCATATTAGCCAACAGTTGGTTGCAAATAACTCTAGCCATTCCGGATCCTCTTTGTCAGCTCGTCCTTGTCTGAGATTACTCCAATTCCATGCTTTCCCTGTTTAGTTATAATGTGATTTTTTTTGTCACAAATAACATCGTGCAACATTTGTTTTCCAACAGCATCTACCAACACAAATAGTGACTAACAAGCATTAAACTGTATTCCATAGCCTCAATAAGTTTCTCAGCGTCTACCTCAATAAAAATATGGGAAAAAGACACTAAAATACTTTTAAAAATATTAAATGACAAATGAGGGTATCTAAATTTTAAAATCCCAATTCAAACCCTAGGTATTTTTTTGGAATTTTTAAATCTTATAAAATTATATAAATACACTTTAATATTTTGTTCACCTTTTTTTTTTTTAAATATTGCCACCTCAACAATTTCAGCCACCAGAGCTCCGGTGACCTATCGCGGGAGCTCCGGTGACCTATCGTTGGAGCTTCGGTGACTACTCTTTCTTATGTATTGACTACTCTTCTTTAGCTATTGACTATTTTTTTTTTAAACTTTGATGACGTGTGACCGGAACTCCGGTGACTACTCTTTCTTATGTATTGACTACATTTACTTTTAAAATCTGATGACTATTCTTGTTAAGCTACTGACTATTCTAGTAATGCGATTTATTACTCTTGTGTAGTCAATAGCTATATAAAAGTAGTCACCGGAATTTTGAAAACAAAAGTAGTCAATAGCTATATGGAAGTAGTCACCGACAATAAGGACAATGTTGTCATTTTACAAGATTTGAAAATTCCAAAATGGTACCTGGGGCTTAAATTGGGATTTTGAAATTCATCTACCCTAATTTGTCATTTAGTAATTTTGAGGGTATATTACTATCTTTTTCCCTAAAATTATTTTTATATGAAATATATATACAATTTTTTATATTTGGCTCGAAATATGGAGAAAAACATTTTTGGCCTTTGCTCACTATTTTGATCATAACTTTAAAATTACAAAGCATTTTTTGAATGGATCTTGTTGCATTGAAAAACCTTAGAGTGCATTTCAATGATAGGTCATTTGTCCAATTTGAATTTAAATTGAGAAAGTTATGTCAAATTAAAAATTGCTCTGTTCGTTCAATACATTGGGAAAAAAAAAGTTTGAGTAAGACGCAATGAATTTTAATTTTTGTGTGAAAGTTAGAGTGTATCATGCATGAGTTGGGATTTGTATCCTCGATACAAATTCCAATTTAAATCAATAAACCTACAGTTGAGATTTAAACTATAATAATAAAATGAGCAAATTCAAATTTGATGCAAGAAAATGCAAATTTTTGTTACATCAAATTTAAATTTTTCTTGTGTAGCATTAAATTTTATATGAGAAAAAATTGAATTTTATACATCAAATTCAATTTTACTTGCTCCTTTTCTTGTCATATTAAAACTTAAATTTCATCGGATATAATCTTATCAATCTAAATCTAAATTAGGCAAATAACCTATCATTGAAAAGCTATTTAAATCTAGTTTCTAATGAAATAAAAGTCATTAAAAAAATTCTCTACATGGTTATGATCAAAATTGTTATAATATCTCACAAACTATGCATACTTTTAAGGTGAAACTTATTTGATGTAAGTGTTAACTCAATAAATTTTTGAATCACATCTGTCTATATAATTTAATTCCGCAACGTTACTCTATTTTTTTCGTAAACATTTGTGTGACCATTGCTCACTGTCTCGATGACAAATCATTTGATCTATTTAAATTTAGGTTGAGAAATATATATCCTCTAAAAGTTTACATTTTAATCGACTTTATTTATATCCATTTGGATTTATAAATTGATTGATCGTGCTTCCTTCCTTTTCGCCAGTTAATTTATTCACATTCTGTGTTCAAGCTTCTCTGTTATACTTTACTTTTGTGCATTATTTTTCCTAGTAGTGGACAATACTGCATCTTCACTTACTCTTCGAATACCCAACTTTCACTTTTCACTCTCTCCCTTCTTTTCTCAAAAAATTGTTTTCACTTTCCCATCTTCAATTTCTCACCGCCTTCCTCAACGCAACCTTTTACTTTGCCTTGAGTAAAAATCTGAAGATTGGCGGCAGGGTAGAAGTAATCATAAAAGTAAAAGCTAATTATGACAGAGATCAGATCTCTATTTTTTCTCTATTTCATTGAAGTTATTTTAGTAGTCTTTGTGTTATTTGAAGTGACAAACATGGTTTAGATAATAGTGTATAATCAAATAATTAGACACATTCCGTCAACTTTAGGCATGAATAGCTCCTGGATTTGTGTTGAGGCAATCAAAACATGAAATCTTATCATGTGCGCGTTTTCCATTGCATTGCATTGCCCAATAATTTACTGTTAAAATTGTGAAGGGAGTTTGGATTGGCAATTTATGGGCGTCACTCAAGCATGTGCAGATTATTTTTACTTTTTTTGGAAAAATGAAATGTAAATGGGTAGCATTTATGAAGAAACAATTTACTATCTATTGCAGTAGTCACAATTTACCATTCAAAAGTTGAGTTCCAATTATTTAAATTGGCTAAATTCTTTACTGCTATTATGACATATCTCTCTTATCAGTTACAAGAATGAAATTACAGCTTATTTTTCTAACACGGCTAATCAAATAAAATTATCATATTATACAAAACTAAAATAGGACGTCCTGTTAATGGGTACAATGAAGTGACTGTTCATCTTTCTTTTGATGTCAAAGATTTTTAATTTTACAAATATGTAAAGATTTAGAAAGGAATACTAAAAAGAAACACTATCTTTTAAATTAAATTAGCATTTGGGAGGAATTACAATCAAGTCCCACAAAAGAGAAATAATTGTCAAAAGATCCCAATAACAACCTCAATGGCCTATAATGACAAGTCCTATAGTGAGAATGACAACCTCTGGGACCTGTTTTTTAATTGTTTTCCTTGTTTGGGACCTCATTGTAATTCTCCCGTTTTTTATTACTACCTTATATATTCCTTGTCAACTTTACAAGTATAATTAATACAAGTTAGCAAAAAAAATATAATTAATACAAGCTAACTTTATGTACCTAAATTCAATCATAAAATATACTCTAGTCCTATTTATAACGCATAGATATAATATTTTTCTTAGTCTTATTTATAAGTCACTTCATTAAATTTTTAACATAAATATATTATTTTGTCCTTTATTTATTATATTGTATATAATTATTTTTTAAAAGGTGCATATATTAAATACAAGTAAAATTAAAAAATTGTTATATTTTTAAGAGAGAATTAATATAGTCTAATATTTTACTTAGTCTGTATAAAACATGTTAAAAATGCCCTATTCCATTTGTAAGAAAATGGGTCAGTCCACCCTTAGTGGATTGGACCCAATACCATTGAGTTTGGGGTTCTAGTGAAAATAACAAGAAACGTGGGTCATTAGTTGCGATTTTCCCCTTCTTGTTTTTGGAACCACACGGTTATGAGGAATGGATAAGTGGAGGTAGTTACAAAAAGAAAGAAACTGCCGCCATGTATAATTTTAGTTTCTTTCCTCTCCATGAAACACATCGTGGGTTCATTTTTCTATTAACACTACCTCCTTTCGGCTGTCTCTCTCTCCCTTGGTGCATTTGCTGTAAAAACCCAGATCCGACTCCGTCACCGTGATCGGACCTTCGCGTGGTTATCTGATTTCGTTCCAGATTCCAGGTATGCCCGAAATCCTTCATTGGCATCAAAGCCTGGTTTATTTTTTTTCTGCTGCCCTGTTCAACTTCTGCGTTTTCGTTTTTGTTGTTGTTGTGTGCCTTACGGTTTGGCATTTCAGTCCATCTTAAGTGATTTGCTCTCAGATTTAAGAAAATCCTCTCTTTATATTCAGTATAGTAATTGTCTTTGGTGTATTTAGATAATTTAGTGTTGTTTTTCTGAGTTTCTCATTGCTTCTATGGCCGTCGGTTATCATAAATTTTTGTCTCCAACTATTGTATGTTACTAGTCTGTATGGGAGATGACCGAAAACAATCAAAAACATTTGAAAAACAGTAAAGACGTAGGTTTGGAAGCATGAAACTCATAATTTGAAAGACCCGTTTTTGAACAGTTAAGGTTTTCGTTTTTTGGGTGTCTGAAAAATGAAGTTTTTAGGCTTCAAAAATTATCCCATTGCGTAGAGCTTGGAAAATTAAGAAAATGACACCAAGAACGTGAAGAACGGACGAAGGACGGAGGAGATATGGGGGAGAGAATATTTCAGGTCTGACAGACCCGACCCGCGAAGGAATCCGGGTCGGTCAGACCCGGTTGGAGGTTGAAGACAACCTCCAGCTCCCAAACGACGTCGTTTTGGCGTCGCTCTTAAAAAAAAATAATAAAGGACGGCTGAGACGATTGGGCTGGCTTGGTCCGGATCCGGATAGGACCGGACTAAGCCCAACCTGTAAAAAAAAACAAAAAAAAGGAAATTTTTTTAAAATTATAATTAATTAAATTAATCTTTTTTTTGCTAGAATTGCCACGTGGCACGTTCCGCCACGTGGTGTAACATCCAAACTTTTAGGCCTAGAAGTTCCAGAAATAGCCTAAATTAAATAGGTTACCAGACCCCTTTTTAGTAGAAGTCCCAAAGATGAGAAAGGAAGTCAAAGTAGTTTCAGGGACTAAACTGCAAAGTAAAAGTTTTAAGGGGCTAAAGTGTAATAAAGTTAGAGGCTCCAGTAAAGTCTCGAAGGCCCAGAGAGAGAAAATAGACTAGATATAGGCCAAAGGTTGAGTTAGAAGCCTCAAAGAGAGGATTATATGAAGTTAAGTCCAACCAGGGACTAACCTGTAAATTCTGAAAGTTATGACCAACAGGGGTA